CTTTTAAGTGTAAAACAAATTCAAAGATCACACTAATTACTTATTTTATTATGTTTATTAATTTTTTATGTATATCCTTATCGGGATAATTTTATAATTATAATTATTATTTTAATTTTTTTTACAATAAAAAGTCTTAAATATTTAAATAAAAAGGTATATTTTGTAAATCAGCTTTTTATTATTTTTGACCTACGCGACCCCCTGGTTGAGAAACGCTGATGTAAGTTATCTTAAATACGAAATCAACATACATAATTATCTCCGATCATGAAAATGTGATATTAATAATATGCGGCGATGGATGCAAATGCAATTTTTTTTAATAAATAAAAATAGTTTTTTGTAAAATGTTGACTTTATTCGTAATATATATTCATATTTTCAATATATAAAATAAAAAGAAATCCATAGGATTCTACAAAATACCATATTTTAACAAACAATCGATAGTATCCGTATAGATTACAGCAGAACATTTCACCATAAATGTATATATATGTACTTAATACAAGTAACAACATATTATTATATAACACACGATGTACACGATAATTGTAAAAAAAAAAATACAACTGTTACGAAATAATAAGATATAGGTACCTAGTAATATGATTTTATATATTATGATCAACTAATCGCATAAATAGTTAAATACTACCTATGCATAGTAATAATGCGCAATATGTTTACCTCGTATAAACCATTACTAATATTATATAGATAGACGTCTGCTATACAATTTCTACAACTTACGAGTTAGGTATAAATTAAAATATATTTGATGCACAATAAACCGTAAAATAAATATTTGTTATTATGTTGATATAGGTACATTATATTATAATATTTTGATGTTTCTCTATATTTTATAAAATACGCATACGAAATAGGGTTTTGGCATTTATGATTAGTTGGCTTACAGCGATATTTAAATTTTTTAAGACGGTTGGAAATAAAGGTTTGTTTTTTATGAATTTAAAATAAAAGTAGGTAATTGGAGGTAAAATAAAAATCAATATTCTCGTGATTCGATTACAATAATGTTCAAAAATTCTTCAAATTCATTGGTGTGATTTCTAAGAGACTTGTAGAAAATGGTTTTTTAATTGTTCAAATGTTTCCTACAAAAATTGACAATAATAATGAAGATTTTAAAA